AGCCACCACCACTACCAGCACCCCCCCCCGCCCCCCCCCACGCCCCCCCCCACCAGCCACCCCCCCCACCAGTCACCACCCCTCCCAGCCAAACCCCTACCAGTCACACCCCACCAGCCACACCCCCACCAGCCACCACCCCACCAGCCACACCCCAACCAGTCACCACCCCTACAGCCAACACCCCTACCAGCGACCACCCCCACCAGCCACACCCCCACCAGCAACCACCCCAACCAGTCACCACCCCTACCAGCCAACACCCCCCACAGTCACCACCCCCACCAGCCACCACCCCCACCAGTCACCACCCCCACCAGTCACCACCCCCACCAGTCACCACCCCCACCAGCCACCACCCCACCAGCCACCACCCCCACTAGCCACCACCCCCACCAGCCACCACCCCCACCAGTCACCACCCCACCAGCCACCACCCCCGCCAGCCACCACCCATACCAGCCACCACCCCTACCAGCCACCACCCCGCCAGCCACCACCCCCGCCAGCCACCACCCCCGCCAGCCAACCACCCCGCCAGCCACCACCCCACCAGCCACCCCCTACCAGCCACCACCCCCGCCAGCCACCACCCCCCCCACACCACCACCCCGCCAGCCACCACCCCGCCAGCCACCCCCGCCAGCCACCAACCCCCGCCAGCCACCACCCCTAACAGCCACCACCAACCAGCCACCACCCTACCAGCCACCACCCCAAACCAGCCACCACCCCTGCCAGCCACCACCCTGCCAGCCACCACCCCCGCCAGCCACACCCCCGCCAGCACCACCCCGCCAGCCACCACCCCGCCAGCCACCACCCCACCAGCCACCACCCCCACCAAAGGCCACCCCACCACCCCCACCCCACCAGCCACCACCCCACCAGCCACCACCCCTACCAGCCCCACCCCTACCAGCCACCACCCCCACCAGCCACCACCCCCACCAGCAACCACCCCTACTAGCCACCACCCCCACCAGCCACCACCCCTACCAGCCACCACCCTACCAGCCACCACCCCCACCAGCCACCACCCCACCAGCCCCCACCCCCACCAGCCACCACCCCCACCAGCCACCACCCCTACCAGCCACCACCACCACCCCTACCAGCCACCACCCCTACTAGCCACCACCCCTACTACCCACCACACCCCACCAGCCACCACCCCCACCAGCCACCACCCCCACCAGCCACCACCCCCACCAGCCACCACCCCACCAGCCACCACCCCTACCAGCCACCACCCCTACCACCCACCACCACTACCAGCCACCACCACTACCAGCCACCACCACTACCAGCCACCATTACTACCAGCCACCACCACTACCAGTCACCACACTACCAGTCACCACCACTACAGCCACCACCACTACCAGCCACCACCACTACCAGCTGCCACCACTACCAGCCACTCCCAAACCCACCACCACTACCAACCACCACCACTACCAGCCAGTACCACTACCAACCACCACCACTACCAGCCACTGCCACCCACCACCACTACCAACCATCCCCACTCCCAACCATCACCACTACAACCCATCACCCTACACCATCCACTCCCAATAAATACACCACCATACTAGCCACCACCAGCCACCCATTTCCCAACCTCCGATACCCCCCATCACACAAAACCATCCCCATACAAACCCCCCCCCAAAACCACACCACCACCAGCCTGTGGAGTATAAAGAAAGTGCCTAGGTAGAGATGACTGAGTGGAAAGAGTGACAGAGAAGTGTGTGTGTGTTTTTTAAAAATAATCACCTTGCTAGATTGCAAAGCAGTTAATTAATTTTTAGAAATATCAGCTGCCTGTATTATTAAATTATTTTTTTGGGTTTAAAGTGCTAAACTCATCATGCAATTATCACAAAATTTTTATTTTTTTGTTGCGGGAACGAAAAAGCTGCTGAAACCCACAGAATGTACCCATTAAAAGACTTGGTAAGATGAGTATTTTTATTTTATATAGTGATGAAAAATACCTTTTTTGTGAAAAGGATTTGATTATATAATAAAAGGGGAAAACTAAAACCGTAATGGTCATCTTAAAATGGCGGGGGAAATGGGAAAAAATTAGATTTCATCTAAGGAAAAGGATGGTTTCCACTTGCCGGGATTAAGGTTTTCCCATTCACCCACTCACCCCTCTTAAAAGGGGTATTTCGGAGCTAATACCTTGGTACAGTGGTACCTTTATTATAGTGCCCCCAAAATTATGGTTTTCCGAGTTTTGAGCCTCGCTCGGTCAAATTTTTTTTTTTTGAGTTGCGAGCCAAACCAGTTAGAGCGAGCTCCCGGATTTGCCATTATTTCGTGTATCTGAATCAAAACCAAATCTGTACCCAGAGGGAAAGTAGGGGACGTACTTGTCCCCTTACTTTCTTTCCAAGACCAATGGAAAAAAATCTCCCACACTAATCCCCAAATGTAGTGAGGGACCCCGTCCCTTTTTTTGGTTCCTTATAAATGGGAAAAGGTACCCCTTTCAACACTCAGAGTTTTCCAGAAACATTAAGGGGGGGAGAGTCTGATAATGGGAGTGGGGAATAGCATGGTGGTGGGGAAAAGTATCCCTGGTGGTGGGTGGAGTAGTATGGTGGTGGGTGGAGTAGTGATTGTGGTGGGTGGAGTATGATAGTGGTGGGGGGGTAGTGTAATGGTGGGGGGAGATGAGGGTGGTGGGGGTAGTAGAGATGGTGGTGGTAGGGGTAGGAAGGTGGGGGTGGAAATAGAGATGGTGGTGGGTGGGGTAGCGATAAAGGGGGGTGGGTAATTGGTGGGGGGGGTGGGGTAGATATGGTGGTGGTGGAGTAGATTTGGTGGGGGTGGAGTAGATATGGGGGTGGGGAAGAGTAGTGAAGGTGGGGGTGGAGTATGAGGGTGGCGATGGAGTTGGTTTTAAGGGGGTGGAAAATAGTGATAATGGTGGGTTTTTAGTAGGGATGGTGGGGGTGGTTAACAATATTTCTTATTTTAAATACATTTTTTTATTTAAAAACCAAACAAAAGAATTAGGGTGTTTTTTTTTTTGGGGTGAAAGGTTAATGGCACTTCAATTAATTTCAATGAGGAAAATTTATTTGATATACGAGCAAATTGATTTACTAGCTTGGTCACGGAATGAATTAAACTCATAAGTCAAGGTACCACTGTATCCTGCTTTTGTATTTAATCTACTATGTATAAAATTTGTTTAAAAATTACAGTGGATGTAGCACTTGCATTTTTTGGCTCATCTTAAGACTTTCTAGTTTGTCAATTTATTTTTTCTTAGATGCAGTCACTGTACCACTGCTGCATATTCTAGTTTTTGTCTATTATTATTTATACTATTCATGGGGAAGCATTAAGTCTGTAGGGTTGTACAGTGCCTGGGAAATGGGAGGTGTCAGGCTTTTACTGATATGGAAGGTAGCTTCAATTCACTGTATTAAGAGCCCTTCACCAGCATGTATAATTTATATATAAATGATTTTTCTTTGGTGTGGATCTGTTCATTTCTTTTCTCATATCTGCACCTTTCAAATGAGGTTCTTTGATGCTGGTGAAGGGCTCTCGATCCAGATAACTGAACTTGTTCTCCACTTCTTGGATTGTACCTGATTGCACCCTATTCTCCAGATGCTGTATGACCCCTACAGGTTTAGTGCTTCCCCTAATTTTTTTTTTTAACACTTTGGCCGTCTCCCACTGAGGCAGGGTGACCCTGATAAAGAAACACTTTCACCATCATTCAACACTTTCAACATCATTCACACATAATCACCCTCTTTGCAGATTTTTTATTATAATCATGGGGGAGCACTAAACCTGTAGGGATTATACAATGCCTGTGGGGGGGGAGGTATTCAGGCTCAATTCAGGGAACTGGAACACAGATCCAATTCCTTAGATCAAAATCCCCTCATGAGCATCATGGAACCTCCCTTGATGGGTGTCTTTGCAGAGATGCTCAGATACGATAGATATCACTTCAAACAGCCAATATCTCAAACCCCTCCTTAAAGTGCAGGCATTGAACTTTCCACCTCCAGGACTCTAAGTCCCATATCTACAGATTCCTGTTGCATAGTACTTATATTATTTAGTAAATTTTAAACTCTATGGCTTTGTCTGGAAATATTTGTTTTGTCACTCATTTTATGTGTGTTACAGATGTAGGAGATGAAGAAAGCTACATTCCTTTGGTTGCTCATGTTGAAGAGATAGTTGGATCCAGTGGTCTGAACATCCTTATTAACAATGCAGGAATTTCTCCAAAATCCACCAGGATAAATATGGTCAAGTGGAAGCACATGACTGATACATTCCATGTTAATGCCATTGCACCACTTATGTTAGCCAAGGTAATTACAATTAAACGTTTTAAACAATAGTACAAGTGGGTTATTAGTGACCATGTACACATGTTACGGTTCGAATCTTAATCTTTAGCGAGGTTAGTGCACTCCGTAACAACACGCTTCATAGAATGAGAGGATATGGTTCCAAACTTAGAAATGTAAGGCACAAATAATAGTTACTCAGCCTTTTCTAGTTTCTTTTTATTTAAAAGTTTAAATACTTTAGATATTCATAAATATCTATTAAATATCACTTTGTCAGAAACTTTCCTTCACACAAGAAAACTCTTAAATAGAATGTACATCATAGACCCCCTCTGGAGACTGTCAATGTGGTCACTACACTTGATAATGATCAGAGGAATATTACTGCTTCCTCAATAGTAACATTACTTGTGTGCAAGTATATATATTGAGAATTAACACTTTCACTGAGTAACTCCCTGGCATAAGGAATATATCACAAAGTTCTAAGCTTGACACTGGTCGTCACATCGTAACCTGAAGGTAACAGTATGTAATTGTCCGCCGACTTCACTTCACAATAAACCACAAGCTGGTTCATTAGTTTCTATAACACAATTCTCTATCCAAGTGAGAGTAAGGCGGAGTACTAGGAGGGTAGCTCAGTCAATGCACACTGAGTCGGCAGAGAGAGTGAACTGGCCATAGACAGTAAATCCCTTCATGACATCAACTCGTCAAAAGGGGGAGAGGGTAGAGCGGTGCGAACCACCCACCAATGGACATACCTTGTTATAAACCTTAGCCAGGTGTACCTACCTAACACATCATACCCGGGTATATTCCTAAATCAGATAATATTATAAACTAGTGGAATCTTTAATTTAGCTAATATTAAAGAAACCCCGAGTATAATATTAAGTGGATAACACATAAATTAATCCCATTATGACCTTGGTCATAACAACACACTAAACTATGTATTTTTTATCTGGAAATTAACAGTGTCAAATCTAAAACAGCCATTGAAACTACATATTACTAAATTAACCTCTGTGACCCAACATGTTATTGTTTTTGAGGCACTGGCACACATTTGAAGAGATTTGTGAAAACTGAACTGTAATAGATATGTGATATAGCAAACCACCAGCAACAACAGCCTGGTTGACTAGGCAAGCACCATTCAAGCCTAGCCCAAGGCCAGCCTGTGAGAGTAGACAAGCTCTCGAAATTAGTGCTTAATGTATTTTGCTCAATGAAATACATATAAAATATGGGAAAAACATATTTAGGTTCACAGCACTCCCAAAAAAGCTGTAACAAATTTCTTTAGTATGTGTTCATTTCTCCAGGAACAGTGAAGGTTTTTTAAAAGTTAATTTCAAATGTTTTTCCTTGTTTAATTTTTTAACAAATGCATAGGCATTTTGTGGATTATTTTATGAATGTGTAAAGAAATTTTTATTTATTTTGTTAAGATTGATTAAGAACTGTAGATTAATTAATTACATGTATGTAGTTCTGTTGAGTTGTGGTAGCTACCACTGCTGCCCATGTACTGGATGTGATCACCAAGCAAGGTGAAGGACTCCTGCTCACTTATGCCACACCCTCTTCCTGACAATTATCCTCACCACTAACTCCCATACTACATACCCAGAGACCTGATAACCTCACCATAATGGTGAGGGAATGGTGTGCCTTTGCAAAGTCTTGAGTTAGTTGCAATGTTGGCATGAATAGGAAAATAAGAGAGGGAGGCAGTCCAGCTGCTGCCCATCCCTACACATCTCTCGACCCAATTCCTCCTATAATACACTCATCCACTGCAGTGTAAAGTAGTGAGCATATGTTAAAGAGTATTTTATTAGATATGTTGTGAGAGGGTTGAGGTAAATAAGAGAGAATGAGAGAGGGAGTCAATCTGGCTGCTGCCTACCCTTACACATCTGTGATATTGTACCAGGCACAGTACAGTAATTGCATGGAAATTTATGATTTTTTTCCTGCCTTTTAGCTCTTGTGTCTTTAGTTTTAAATTTCTACTATGAACTTCCATTCTCTCTTCGAACACTTCCAGTTATGCTACATGCTACTGCAGTGTACACCAACAATTATAATTTCCTATATGGAATGGGATTTGCAGAGGCTTCTTGAGATAGTAAGTCAAGAACACTTTTAGAGAGCCAATATTTTAAACATAGTTCTACTATATATTTACTTCTCCTCACCATCATTGAAACTATGGCAGCTTCCTCATTCATAGTATTATTATTTTCAAAGTGCATTACATGCAGGCTATCCAAAATTACTTCCCACATCCCATCCTGCTTTGCATTTGCTGATGATTATGTTCCATCTTCAACAGAGACAGATATAGCTTTTGTTGGGTCCCTGGAAATTCCAACATATTGGTCAATAAAACCTGACTCCTTGTCTTCAATAGATTCCAGTGAGGGACTTTTAATGCAAGGAATTGGACCAATCATTTCCTTCCTTGGAATGAGCATGATTGCCTCCCATTTCCTCTGGCGCTCTATGACCTTAACGGATTTAGCACTTCCCCTTGTATAATTATGATTTTTTTTTTAACATGCTGGCTGTCTCTCACTGAAGCAAGGTGACCCAAATAAGAGACACTTACCATCATTTACATCTAAATTGCACGCCTCTTGAAAGAGGCGTGCAGATACAACAGTTTAGATGTCCCTCTAAACAGCAAATATCTCAAACCCCTCCTTTAGAGTGCAGGCACTGTACTTCCCTGAATCCCTTCACAAAATATTACCTTTCATACTCTCAACAGCTCATCAGGTTCCAAAAAAAATTTGTCTCCACTCACTCCAATCTAGCATGCTCACATATACCTGCTGTGTGTCCAAGCCCCTTGTGCACAAAACCTCTCCTTTACCCCCTCCATTCTTTCCTAGGATGACCTCTACCCTGCCTTCCCTCCACTACATATTTATACACCCTCCAAGTCATTCTATTTTTGCTCCATACTGTCTGAATGACCAAATCACCTCAACAACCACTCGTAAGCCCTCCTCATAATCTCCATAAAGTCTCTGCATAATAGTTATGCCATACATTGCCCTCAGACACATCATCTCCAATGCCCTCAGTCTCCTACTCACTGCAACATTTACAGCCTACGCTTCACACCCATATAAGAGTGTTGGTACCACTATACTCTCATGCCTCCATGGATTACATTTTTTGTCTCCTCAGCTACCTCATTGCACCACCCACCTTTTTCCCTTCATCAGTTCTATGGTTTACCTCATCTTTCATGTACCCATCAACTGACACGTCCACTCCCAAATATCCGAACACATTAACTTCCTCCATACTCGCTTCCCTCCAATCTGATACCCAGTTTTTTCCCTAACTCATTTGATTCCCTCATCACCTTACTTTTATCTGTGTTTATTTTCAACTTCCTTTACATACACTCCCAAACTTGTCCACTAAGCTTTGCAAATTCTCTTCAGAATATCCCAAAAGCACAGTACTATCAGCAAAACTTAACTCTGCCAACTCCCATTTTGTATTGGATTCTGCATATTTTAATCTCACCCCTCTCCCCAACACCCTAGCATTTACTTCTTTTACAATCCCATCTATAAATATGTTAAACCATGGTGACATCACGCATCCCTGTCTAAGGCCTACTTTTACTGGAAAGTAACCTCCCTCTCTCCTACATACCTTAACCTGAGCCTCACTATGTTCATGAACAGAAACTCTTTACAGCATTTAATAACCTACCACCTATTCCATACACTTGCAACATCTGCCACATTGCTTCTTTCAACAAACTGGCCATATCCCACCAAGGCAGGGTGGCCCAAAAAGAAGTAATGTATACAGGAGAAGGGGCTACTAGCCCTGCATTTTAGTCACCTCGTGCGACACGCATGGCTTATAGAGGAAGAATTCTGTTCCACTTCCCCACTGAGATAAATGGAAATAAACAAGAACTAGTAAGAAAGTAGAAGAAAACCCAGAGGGGTGTGTGTATATATGTTTGTACATGCATGTGTAGTGTGATCTAAGTGTAAGTAGAAGACAGAAAAAAGACACCAGCAATCCTACCATAACGTAAAGCAATTACAGGTTTCCATTTTACATTCACTTGGCAGGACGGTAGTACATCCCTGGGTGGTTGCTGTCTACCATCCTACTGCCTAGGACCTTATCGTGTATCTTTTCTAAATCCATAAAATCAATGAAAACTTGCCTACCTTTATCTAAATAGTGTTCATTTATGTGTTTCAATGTAAACACTTGGTCTACACATCCCCTACCCATTCTAAAGCCTCCTTGTTCATCTGCAGTCCTGCTCTCTGCCTTACCCTTAATTCTTTCAGTAATAACCCTGAAAATAAATGGTATAAAATACCGACACAATGGAAACATAAACACATATGCAGTTTAATGTGATCCTTTATTGACAACGTTTCACCCACACAGTGGGCTTTTTCAAGTCACACACAGATCTACCTGGGGTGGAAGGTACGGGAGTATTTATAGTCATGTTCAGAATGTTGAGGTCAGGTGGAGAATGCCGCATCTGATGATCTACCGGGTGGGGTTATAGAGTCTTGGGTAGCTTGGCAGGGGTATTGGACAAGTTGTGAGTAGACCTTCTGCAGTGTTCTGTGTTCTTATGTGGGATAGCGATGAAGAAGTTTCTTGGCGAGTGGTTCAGCTATGTTATAGAAGCCGTTGTTCTGGTTGAAATTGTTGGTTATAGAGATAAGCGATGATTCCAGGATTCTTCGGTATTGAGTGTTGTCTTCTGTGGCGATAAGTCTTGAGTTTTTGTAGTTAATTAAATGGTTGTGTGAATTGCGATGTGTACAACATCGCTGAACCACTCGCCAACAAACTTCTTCATCACTATCCCACATAAGAACATAGAACACTGCAGAAGGTCTACTCACAACTTGTCCAATACCCCTGCCAAGCTACCCAAGACTCTATAACCCCACCCGGTAGATCATCAGATGCGGCATTCTCCACCTGACCTCAACATTCTGAACATGACTATAAATACTCCCGTACCTTCCACCCCAGGTAGATCTGTGTGTGACTTGAAAAAGTCCACTGTGTGGGTGAAACGTTGTCAATAAAGGATCACATTAAACTGCATATGCGTTTATGTTTCCAGTAATAACCCTACCATACACCTTACCTGGTATACTCAATAGGCTTATCTCCCTATAATTTTTACTTTTTTTTTTTTTTGTCCCCCTTCCCTTTATATAAAGGAACTATGTATACTTTCTGCCATTTCTAGGTATCTTTCCTTCTTTCATACATTTATCGAACAAAAATACTAACCACTCCAAAACTATATCCCCACCTGCTTTTAACATTTGTCATGATCCCATCAATCCCAGCTGCTTTACCCCCTTGTCATTCTACGCAGTGCCTCATGCACCTCCCCAACACTCACATCTGGCTCTTCTTCACTCCTGAAAGATGTTATACCTCCCTGGCCAATGCATGAAATCATGGCCTCCCTCTCTTCATCAACAAATAACAGTTCCTCAAAATATACTCACCATCTTCCCGATACCCCCAACTCTGCATCTATTAACTCCACTATTTTAACTGTCAGAGCCATTTGTTCCCTAGGCTTTTTCATCCCATTTATCTCCAAAACTTTCATCATCATTCAACATTTTCACCATCACTCACGCATAATCACTCTTTGCAGAGGTAATCAGATACAACAGTTTAGATGTCCCTCCAAACTGCCAATATCCCAAACTCCTCTTTTAAAGTGCAGGCATTGTACCTCCCACTTCCAGGACTCGAGTCCGGCTAACTGGTTTCCCTGAATTCCTTCATGAAATATTACCCTGCTCACACTCCAGCAGCTTGTCAGGTCCCAAAAACCATAGCTCTATTCACTCCTAACATGCTCATGCACGCTTGCTGGAAGTCCAAGCCCCTCGCCCACAAAACCTCGTTTACTCCCTCCCTCCAACCTTTTCAAGGATGACCCCTACCCTGCCTTCCTTCCCCTACAGATTTATGCCCCCTCCAAGTCATTCTACTTTGCTCCATTCTCTCTAAATGACCAAACCACCTCGACAACCCCTCTTCGGCCTTTTTCTTATTCTCAGCAAAATTTGTTGACAACACTTCACCCACTCTGTCATTTGCTCTTCTTTTACTCTCTATATACTCCACCCTTCTTATATCACTTATATGTACTTTCTAAAAACCTTATGTACAGACTTTTTCTCCCTTATCACTCCCTTTACCTCATCATCACAAGAACAATAATTATGCATAAACAATGGGTAGTGTTTGATGTGTCTAACATAACCAGACTACAATATGGAAATTGACATAAAAATATTGCCATTTTTGTTTATTGCAGGCTTTACTCCCACAAATAAAAAGAGCAGCTTCACAGATGGATGGGGGCTGTCTGGCGGCCAAACGTGCTGCCATTATTAATATATCTTCGATATTGGGCTCCATAGAAGAAAATAAAGAAGGTGGCCTGTACCCTTACCGAGCTAGTAAAGTGAGTTTTACTTTATTAACCCTTTGACTGTTTCGGTCATATATATATGTCTTAAAAGTGAATATAGGAAAGAGTAAGGTTATGAGGATAACAAAAAGATTAGGTGATGAAAGATTGGATATCAGATTGGAGGGAGAGAGTATGGAGGAGGTGAATTATTCAGATATTTGGGAGTGGACGTGTCAGTGGATGGGTCTATGAAAGATGAGGTGAATCATAGAATTGATGAGGGGAAAAGGGTGAGCAGTGCACTTAGGAGTCTGTGGAGACAAAGAACTTTGTCCTTGGAGGCAAAGAGGGGAATGTATGAGAGTATAGTTTTACCAACGCTCTTATATGGGTGTGAAGCATGGGTGATGAATGTTGCAGCGAGGAGAAGGTTGGAGGCAGTGGAGATGTCATGTCTGAGGGCAATGTGTGGTGTGAATACTATAATGCAGAGAATTCGTAGTTTGGAAGTTAGGAGGAGGTGCGGGATTACCAAAACTGTTGTCCAGAGGGCTGAGGAAGGGTTGTTGAGGTGGTTCAGACATGTAGAGAGAATGGAGTGAAACAGAATGACTTCAAGAGTGTATCAGTCTGTAGTGGAAGGAAGGCGGGGTAGGGGTCGGCCTAGGAAAGGTTGGAGGGAGGGGGTAAAGGAGGTTTTGTGTGCGAGGGGCTTGGACTTCCAGCAGGCATGCGTGAGCGTGTTTGATAGGAGTGAATGGAGACAAATGGTTTTTAATACTTGACATGCTGTTGGAGTGTGAGCAAATTAACATTTATGAAGGGATTCAGGGAAACCGGCAGGCCGGACTTGAGTCCTAGAGATGGGAAGTACAGTGCCTGCACTCTGAAGGAGGGGTGTTAATGTTGCAGTTTAAAAACTGTAGTGTAAGGCACCCTTCTGGCAAGACAGTGATGGAGTGAATAATGGTGAAAGTTTTTCTTTTTTGGGCCACCCTGCCTTGGTGGGAATCGGCCAGTGTGTTAAAAAAAAAAAAATATGTCTTACGAGGTACCGTGTTTGACGTATATAATCTCATAAATTTTAGCGGCTTCAAATCCAGCAGGAGAAAGCTGGTAGGCCCACATGTGAGAGAATGGGTCTGTGTGGTCAGTGTGCACCATATAAAAAAAAAATCCTGGAGCACACAGTGCACAATGAGAAAAAAAAACTCGACCATTTTTTAATTAAAATGCCGACTTTGTGGTCTATTTTCGTATAGTGTTTATGGTTGTACACGTAGTATAGCTAGTAGGTTGGTAGACAGCAACCACCCAGGGAGGTACTACCATCCTGCCAAGTGAATGTAAAACAAAAGCCTATAATTGTTTTACATGATGGTAGGATTGCTGGTATTTTTTTGTCTGTCACATAAATATGCAAGATTACAGGTATGTCTTGCTACTTCTATTTACACTTAGGTCACACTACACATACATGTACACATTTATTTATACACACTCATCTGAGTTTTCTTTGATTTTATCTTAATAGTTCTTGGTCTTATTACTTTTCCTTTTACAGTGGACCCCCGGTTCCTGATACTAATCCATTCCTGAGAGCTCATCGTAAACCAAAAATATCGCAAAGTGAATCAATTTTCCCCATATGATATAATGGAAATCAAATTAATCCGTGCAAGACACCCCAAAGTATGAAAAAAAAAAACTTTTTCCACATGAAATATTAAGTTTAATGCAATAGAATAGTAATTACAATAACAACAATAACAATAAATAACAATAAATAACGAAAGAATAATTGACACTTACCTTTAATGAAGATCTGGTGATGATTGATGGGATGGGAGGAAGGGGAGAAAGTGTGGATGGTGTTATGGCATTTAGAAGGGAAATCCCCCTCATTAGGAATTGAGGTAGCAGTCCTTTTTTTTGGGGTTACTTCCTTCTTGTTTTTAACCCTTCAGGGATCCAAGGCAAATCCTGAAGTGGTTGCCTCCAGTGTCCAAGAATGTTTGAAAAAAAAAAAAAATAATTTTTTCTTACATAATTAAATGAGCATATTTTTTGGAGGTAATAAGACAAAAAAAAAATAAATTCTGATCAAGTACCTTACCGAGTATCGTGCCTAGAGTTTTGTTCTATAAATGATGTGTCGGGTGGCTGGCAACCATCGACGAATTCCACATACGGTCATGACATTATTTAGCGTTTTTTAGTTTTTTCTTTTCTTTTCCAATTTTTTTCTATTACTACTAACATTTGGGGCCTGAGAGACAATACTGTATATAATTATACAGATGGAACCCCGGTGGGTTAAAGATATTTTTTCACTCCAGAAGTATGTTCAGGTGCCAGTTACTGACCGAATTTGTTCCATAAGATAGTATTGTGAAGTAGATTTTGTCCATTTCAGACACCAAACATTAACGTACAAAACACTTACATAAATACACTTACATAATTGGTCTAATTCGAGGTATCGTTATGCGGGGGTCCACTGTATATATAAACTCATTATGAACACAAATAACCGCACTAAATTTATTATCATATTAATGTCTTACACTGTTGTTTATTACATTTAACATGCAAAATTTTGTATAATACTAATGTTCTATCATATATTTACATATTTACTATCACCTGGACTGGTTTTAGAATGCTGGAGCTTGTGGAACTCCTTGTAAAACAAGGCCACCATGCACAGAGGCACCTTACATTCTTACACATATACCGAGTGTCTTTGCAGCTTTGTTGCCGTCATTTTGTTTGTGCACAGAACGATGCATCTCTTCTGAGCAAATTTCTTCTGAGTTGAAGGAAGTTGTATTATGAAATGATCACCTTCCCTCCTCAAACGCTTGGGTATATCCTGAGGAATTCGAGGACCTTGTTGTATAGCAGGTGTTCTTACCTGGTACTTCATTATGAGTTGTCTGACAACAGACAAACAAAATTCACCATACGGTGGTCTGTTGCCAGTCTTTATTTGGTACATATTATATGCATTGAGCATTGAAATGTCCATGAGATGGAAGAAAAGTTTCATGTACCACTTGTAACTCTTACGAACACAGTCAACAAAACCAATCTGCATGTCACATTTGTCAACCAAGCGCATGTTTTGTGTATAATCAATCACTGTCACTGGTTTTCGAATACGTTCATTAGTCACTCGATCAACTTTGCCACTGTCTTGCATTTCATTACGGTGAATGGTTGTCAACAATGTGACATCTCGTTTGTCATGCCACCGTAATGCCATGATGTCATTGGCAGTAAACACCTGCACGTCATCACCACGAGCACCTGCGTTGAGCCTGGGCATATGTTTACGATTAGAACGCACTGTGCCACACACATCTGTCTTGTTCACTCGCATGAAATCACTGAGTAATGGGCTTGTGTACCAGTTATCGGTATATAATGTATGCCCTTACCAAGATAAGGTGCCATCATGTTTCTCACTACGTCACCTGAGATACCCAATAACATCTTGGTATCTTTCAATGTTTTACTACCCGTGTATACAACAATATCCAACACCAGGCCACTGTCACAATCACAGAGTACAAACAGTTTTATACCAAAGCGTTTCCTCTTGCTCGGTATATACTGCTTGAATGACAGTCTACCTTTGAACAAAATCAAAGACTCGTCAATTACAAGATTCTTGAATGGATAAAAGTATATGCTGAACTTTTGTTTGAGATACATGAAAACATTTCTAATCTTGTATAACCTGTCACTTCTGTCAGGCCTGGTTTTGTCAGAGAAGTGCAACATACGTAAGAGTAAGATAAACCTGTTCACTGGTATGATTTCACTGAAGACCGGGGTAGAAATTAGCCGATCTGTGGACCAGTATGCTTTTATATTATGCTTATAGACGTGAGGCATAAGCATTATTGTTGCAAAAAGCAAATACATTTCTGCAACAGTCGTCTCTTTCCACCTGTGTAGTCTTGACTGTGGTGATAAGATCGTATTTGCCATGGTGTACTCAAAATACTTATTACTTTCCCTGACAATAATTTCCATCAATGGCTGGTCAAAGAATAATTCAAAGAATTCCAGTTCATTGGCCGTGGTTCCAAGGGGACAAGTAGGTAGAATTCCACTTTGAGAGTCATCAAAGTGGTGAGGCTTGGGAACAAAATTGGGATTTTGCTGCCAATCCCACATACGGTTTGCTGGTGGATACTGGACATCATAGGCTGGTTGTTGCGGGTGGTTTTGGTTGTGGTTGGGCTGGTTGCTGTGCGCTCCGCTTTGTACCTGAACATTACGACTGTCAGCAGACGTGGGTCTCAGCGTGGCCTGGTGAGTAACGCATGGCGGTTGCTTCATCTACATCAACCTCTATACACCATCCATGAATGTCCTGTGGTCTATCCATGCCAAGTGTACGCCACATCATCCTAACTTTCACTATCTAAAACTGGTGTTGGGCCACAGATTACTCCGGATGTACTCCGTCCCTCCTGGGCACAGACTATGGGAACACCTACGACTGGAGGCAATGCAGGGTGGCAAAATAACAGTTCCGACGTCTTCACTGGTGATATTGATTCCTTCCTTCACGGTATCTTGTAATCACTACTCGAATGATGTCTGAAGCGCAATAAAAATCACAATCCACGTCACTTCATCATCAGCTATTGAGTCAGAGGCCTGGCTCCACACGAAAAATTATTTAGTTTTTTATCTTGCGGTGAGGTAACACCCGACCTGTGCAGTCACGAGGTGCCCACACTCAGAGGTAGAGGTTGAGGATGTCAGGGTTTTCTGCACTATTTCAATCGATATCCTGGTCATTTCTTTTCGGTCACTAACTGATCAAAGCCGTTTAAGAATTCAGTCTTCCATTTTCCACTTTCCATCAGTTCAGATAACTATAGATAGGGAGAGGAGTAGTCCTCCAAATTTTACCGGGGACGCGATGACAGCTGACTTGAGACGCTAGGCATGGTGAAACAAGGGTTAACTGAGCCGGCGTTCCACAATGCTTTGCGGGAGCCGAGATTTCTTTGTTTATGGTGCACAACACACGCGCTCAGAGACACGTTCCTTACTCACATGTTGAGCCT